GCTTACTAGTCAGTACCTGTGAAAAGCCCAGACAAGCACCCAAGGTCCCTGGGATTAGTTGCTTCCAGCAGTTTTAGTATTGTTAGGCTTTAAGGTGTCTCCATCTCCTGCTCTGACCAGGTGATAAAATGCACTTTAACTTGTCCCTGTCTTGGTGGTGACACTTCCTGGTCACTGGAAAAGGCATCTGGCTTTTGAGTTTGGGATCCACACTGTCTTTTAGATGTGGTGTTTTAGAAAGCCTTTGCTCCTTCACTGAGAGCACACAAAGAGGACACTTAGTCAATACAGCTCCTTCTGGCTGTTGTTTCTGAGCACTATGGGGAAAATTAGGGTCAATTTGAGATTTGCTGCTGCTGGAGTGACGAGGCTCTTCAACAGGGAAGCAGCAGTTTCTAGGGAAAAAGCGGGTTTGGAAGAATGGTGGACTCCATGGAGGCAGTAGGTTTAACTGTGGAGCATCAACAGGAGAATGTACTGATGGATCTGTCTGTCTGGGGCTGTGCCTGCAGGCACTCCCGGTGCAGGGATGCTGCTGTGCAGTGTGTGCACACCTGGAATGTGCAGCCTGTGCCTCTCCAGGCCTGGCTGCAGCCTGAGCTTTGGATTTGGGTTAATGTGTGCCAGGGATGAGCCAGCTGGAGCTACCCCCACCTGTACTGGCACTGATCCCTTCTCCCACGCTTGCCTGCTGAGTGGGGCCACGTGCCATTGCCCTTCCCAACCCCTGTGCTAGCTCAGGCAGTGGGATCCTGCTGTGGAAAAAACAGATGATGTATCTTAAACAATTAAAACATTAAACTTATTTTTTTAAGTGCTGTTCTGATAGAATGTGGTGTTGCTCTGATGGCACGCTCTCTCTGTGGGGAGCCCCCAGCAGCTCTCCCTGCCAGTGGATGGTGAGTGTTGCACCCATGGCCCTCTCCCTGCACCCCAAAGCAGGGGGCTCGGTTAGCAGAGCCCCCCAAGAGCTAAGGCTCCCCCAGCCCCGGCTGGGACAGTGTGCTGGCACCTGCCACACCAACCTGGGAACTGCCCGCGGTTGTGAGGCTCCTCTTGGGAAAGCGAAGCCGGGCGGCGTCTGAGCTGCCGGCAAGCCCAAGCCCACATCCTGCAGTTCGGGGAGGCCCTGGGCAGCGTCTGCCCCCCAGGAAAGCGGGCGGGGGCAGCGGGGTCCGGCCGGCGCCGCCGCAGCCCCGGGGTCGGGGAGCGCTGCCGCCCTCCGCCTCCCTCCGTGACTCCATTCAGCCGGGAAGTATTCTCATTTCCATGCTCGAGTGCTCCTGTAGCTTGGAAGGGAAAGGAGATTTGTTATTTAAAGGTGACGGACCGACAAATCGTGGTATTTAGTGTGTTATTACAGTCCATTACGGTCCATCTCCGTAGTGTGTGAATGGCCCCGAGGCGGAGCACGCCGGCACTTCAGAGGAAGGCGGAAAAGCCCTGGCCTGGTGTTTGTGTAGCCCTGCACAGGTAGGTGGAATCCTTCCCAGATGCTGCCGGCATTTCTCTCACACCCTGCAGCATGTCTGGTGGCTCCTTTGGGAGCAGCCCCACTCCATGCAGAAGTGACTATTGCAAGGAAACACAGCCAGCTTATTCTGCCTCCCTAGAGCCGGTTGGAGAAACGTTGTCACCTTTGCCGTGCAGGGCAGCAGTAAATGGTGCCCCCCACCTGCCCCTTCTGTGCTGCCCACCCCTTCTGCCTGTCCCCACACCCACCTGCTCTTTGCAATAACTTGGTACCAAGTGCAGAAAGTTCCCCAGTGAGGCCAAACCTTGCTGTGAATTGCAGCCTTAGAGAACGGGGGGAGGCAGGGACTGCTCAGGCAGTGAGTGTGGGCCAGAGCATGCACCACACCAGCTCTGGGGGTGCTGCCATGGGCAAACCAGGTGAATTGATAGAGCCCTCAGCTGATGCACAGTGCTCAGCCATACTGCAGGGCAGGGGATGACCCATCCATGGTTTCTGCTGGAGCAGGAGCAAGGGGGCATTGGATTAAACCAGCTGCTCTGCACGAGTGCTGTGTGCGCTGCGTGGGAGGGTGCCAAACCACTTCCCTCAGGGCATCCCTGGTGCCACGGCTGTGCCAGGGCTCCAGGAGTGACTGGACACTGCCGAGGAGAGGAGCTCCATCCCAGGCCAGCTCCATCCAGAGAGCCCAGCAGCAGCACCCTGCAGAGATGCCCACGCACCCCACCCCTGCTCTGGTGCCCGTCCCAGGCCGTGCAGAGGAGGATGCCGAGGGCAGAAAACCTCAGGTCTGACCCCGAAAACAGCTGCTTGCCAAAACTTGCTTCAGCTGCCTGCCAAGTGCATCCCAGGAGCTGTTACCTGTGTACCCATGAGCTTTCCCAAGGACAGCACTGGAAGAGGGAGAGGGCTCCCATGACAACCCACGCTGTGCCCTAAAGGCCACTGTCAGCATTTTATACCCTATTTGTTTTCCTACTGAGGGTGTAACAAGTGTGGTGTGCCTTCCCTATCCCCACTGAGGCTTTCCATGTGTAGAGAAGGAAGTTAAATCCCTGATGATCGAGTTTGGCAGAGAAACAGGGAGTGTTTAGCAGAGAGGGAAAACCTTTCCCATGGATGCGATACCAAGCAGAGTCTGTACTGGCCTCCTCCTCCTTGGCAGCCACAGCTCCATTATCCCAGCATCAGCCCCTCCAGCACTGCAGGGCCTAATCCTGCCCCGAGCCCAGCAGCACATTCCTGTCTCCTGTGTGCCAGCCCCAGCGTCTGTCCGTCTGTCTGCTGGGAAAACCAGTTTAGGAACTGATGAGCCAAAGCCACTTGGCTGCTCTCATTCCAGCCAGGCTGATCAGCAAACCAGCTGCACTTCCTGATCCTGCTCGTCCTGGGGCTGGCACGGTGCAGGGACAGTGACAGGGACAGGGGTGAGTGCAGCAGCAGGGACAGGGCACTGGCACAACCCTCTGCTGCCCATGTGAGCTGCTATGCTGGTGTACAGGTTGCTCCCAGCACTGTCCCTGTCCCAGTGCCACCTGTGCTCAGTGCATTCCTGCTCTGCAGGTGACAGGGTTCCCCATTGTCACTGCAGAGCTGGGGACTGGCTCACCCACTGTGGGGACAACCTTGGGCCCTGCATGGGGGGACAGAGCCCAGGAGGTTATGTGGGCAGATGAAGTGTCAGCTCACAAGAGGCTGGCTCATATCTCTGGGCCCTGCTGTGGCACATTTGAGGACCACAGATCTGTGAGTTTGGGAGAGGATGGCAGCAGGGACCCACAGGTCACCGAGCATTTTTGTGGACTGGCAAAGGCTGGACCCAGCTCTGCCATGAGTGGTGATTACAGAGGGTGGCCCTTGGCAGCCTGTGGCCCCAAAACCCATGGTAGGGCTGGGCTGCACAAGCTGGAACAGCCAGTGGGGACCGCATGGTGGGGTCACAGCCAGGTGTCCCCTCCATCTCCTCCAGCACCCCACAAAGGGTCACTGCACCGGAGCATGCTTGGGGTCTGGGGAGCTGAGAGCCCCAGCTCATTCAGATCTGCCCCCCACCTTGCCCCCATGCTCATCAAAAAATCCTCAGTGTCCATCCAGAAGCCACCCTAATGGCCAGAGAGCTGTGCCAGATTGAGCTCACCACCACAACCAGGACCACCTTGGCCATTGAGGGAATTGGGAGAGTGTCCCACTCCAGCACCTCGTTTGGGGTCTCCCAGCAACTTCTCAGGACCACTCTGGCCCTCCCAACCCCCAGGAATTGTTTTTGTCCTCCACCCCAAGGGGCTCCCAATGCACCCCAGGTGCTGCAGCAGCCCCAGCCAGGAGCATGCCCACCCTTAACCCTTGTGCTCCTATCAGCGTGCAAAATCAACCTGCCCACCCAAAAACGAACTTTTCCCCCAAGAAGGAGGCAGGGCTGTGCCAGGAGCTGGGTGGGAAGGTGGAGCTGATGCTGACTGGCACAGCAGGTTTTGCATCCACCTTGATTAAAGGCCTCAGTGAGGGCCTGGCCTGCGCCCCACAGCACCCCAAGGCCGGGGGGCTGAGGTGTGTGATGGCTGACCTACCCTTACAGGTGGGGCTGGGGGGGCTCCCCATTCCTGGGATGGCAAACCCCACCTTAATCACTGGTTGCAGCCCGGTGTGGCCAGCAACACCAAATTTGCTGGCACGTGACCGGCCCCTGTGGTCAAGGGTGTCACCCCAAAGCGGTCCCCCTCACTTCAGAGGGAAATCTTCCCCCCCAAAATGCATGGGAAACTCCTTTCCTGTCATTCTTTAGTAATTATTTGGCTGTGATTCTTCGGGGTATTTGGGGCTGCCTCCTGCCCCCCTGGCGAATTGCAAATTTAACTAAATACTGAAATATATCTTTGAACAGGGATGTGGTGCCTGGCAGCAAGTGCCACTGGGGTGAGTTGGCCTCTGGGTGACCCCTCTGGGTGACCCTGCTCTCCATGGGCACTCTGAGCCAGGACTGGGTGTCCCTTGCCTTGGCCACCGAGGACCTTGGAGGGGCATTGGTAACTTGGGAAGGGTGATTCCCCTAGGGGTGCCCTATACCCCCAGCATGCCCTCACAGCCTCATCCCTGCCCCAGGGATGCCCATACTCCAGTTCCACCCCGGGGTACCCCATAACCCACCCAAGGTTGCCCCGATCCCCCATTCCCCACCCTGGCCGTAGCCCTGGGCCCAAGGGGGGGCACTCTCCCCTCTCCTGGGGCCGCCCCATTTCCCCGTCCCCCTGAGGGTGCCCTGCGCCCCCTGTGCCCCGCTCGGCCTCTCCAGGGATGCCCCATTCCCACTTTCCAGGGTACCTGCGCTGGGGCGGAGCCTCCGCACCCCAGCCGTGCCCCACCCGTCCCTGGCTGCCCAATGGGCTGCGGCGGGGCGCGGCGCGGGGCGTGGCCTGGCTGCATATGCATGTATGCAGATGAGCAGGTGCGGGCAGAGCGCGGCGGCGGGACGGGACGGGACGGGGACTCGGACGGGGAGCGGAGCGGGACGGGGAGCGGCGGCGGGGCCATGGCCACGGCGGGGCCGCGCTCCTTCAGCGCCGCCGAGGTGCGGGAGCGCTGCGCGCAGGGCGCCTGCCTGGTCTCCTGCCGCCGCCGCCTGTACGACCTGAGCGGCTTCGTGCGGCTGCACCCGGGCGGGGAGCAGCTGCTGCGCCGCCGCGCCGGCACCGACGTGAGCGCCGCGCTGGACGGGCCGCCGCACCGGCACTCGGAGAACGCCCGCCGCTGGCTGGAGCAGTACTACGTGGGGGACATCGAGCCCGGCGATGAGCAGGTACCGCCGCGGGGCCGAGCCGGGACCGGGGGACACGGCTAGAGCGGAGCCGGGCGTACATGCAGCCTCTGCGGGGTGCCTCAGGTGCTGGGTACAGGTGAACAAGGGCTGTGGGGTACCCCGCGACCGGGAACTGGCAAATGGAGAGGCTGTACTGTGCCCCAGGTGCTGCTCCAGGATGTACAGGGTCTGTACAGTGAGTGTCCCGATCCCAAGTCCCGATCCAGGATGTGCAGGGTCTGTACAGTGAGTGTCCCAATCCCAGGTCTCCATCCAGGATGTGCAGGATCTCTCTAAGGCACCCCAGGTGTGGCATACACAGCGTTTCTATAGTCGTGGGACTGGGATGTACAGACATTATGGGGTGCCCTAGGTCCCGGATTGAGTTTTGAAAGGTGCTCCAGGTCTGTGCTCTCTGGGATCTGGGCACTGCTGGGGTTATAGAGCATCTCAAGTCCAGAGTGCATGGAGTCTGAGATGTGCAGGGGCTGTAGGGCACCCTGGATCCAAACTGTGCAGGCTCTGAGTCATACAGGGTCTGTAGGGCACTCCAGGTCCAGGCTTCTCAGCGCCCAAGCTGTTCAGGACATACAGAGGCTGGAAAGGCTTTGGGGTGTACAAGGCAGGAAGTTTCTGGGGTGCATGTAGCATATGAGGTGTTTAGTGCACCCAGATCTCAGTCTGAGCTGTATGGGACATGGTGTGTGTTGGGTGTGAGCAGGACAGGATCCATAGGATCAGGCTCTGTAGGATCTGGGGTCTACAGGGCATGAGGGGTGAAGGGAACAGAGACCCCTTTTAGGCTCCTGGCGTCTGCATGGGTGGTGCCTGAGGTGTGCAGGGTGCCAAGGTCCCATGTGCCTCCTGGCTCCCAGGAGTTCTCTGGCTCTGAGGTGCAGGGGACCCTGAGGGTGCCAAGTGCACAGAGCTGGGTACCTGCAAGGTCCCCCTCCACGGCCACCTCCCTCCCTGCCGTGCTAGGAGGCAGGGCTGATGGGTGGATTTGGGGTGCCAATGTGGCATGGAGGCGTTGGGGTCTTTGCAGGGGTGCAGGAGATGGAGCTCAGTGTCAGTTTTAGCAGGACTGTATGGCAGAGTGGGCACTGGGACAGGACACCCTTCCTGGCCCTGTCAGCCCTCAACCAGGGACCACGGTGCTGGGCACAGGGGTTTACCAGTGGTGAGCAGCCACTGCTGAGAGAGGAGCCCAGCCACGTCCCTCACTGCCTGGTGAGGGGCATGGGACACAGCTCTGTCCCCGCCGTGCCAGTCCCGTGCTGCCCAGGTGGTTCCGCAGCCTCCGGGTGGCCCTGGGCACTCCTGCGCAGTTTCCAGCCCTCACCAGCGGCCGTGGGCAGGATGCTGAGCAGCAGAGCCAGCCCAGCCCCCTTCTCCAGCTCACAGTTCCTCTCTCGGCATCCCAGCGGGGTCGGTGACCGGCCGGTCCCTCTGGCTGCTTGTTTGCTCTCGCTGCTGTCCTGCCCAGGGCCAGCCCCGGCTCCAGCGCCACAGACGGGGCTTTGTTTCAGCCCCGGTGCAATGCCTGCCCGCTCCCCGCACGGTCCCGGCCGCGGCACCTCCTCTGTTGGGACGCTCGCCGAGCCGCCGCCTCCTCGCAGGCGTGACGAGCCCAGCGGGCTGGGGTAGGAAGGTACCGGACAAACGGGTTCCCGTGCCGAGGGGAGCCGCCACCATCCCAATGCAAATACATGGCGTGATAACTCAGGCTGCAGGGAGATCTGACACTGCCTGGTGCCAGATAAACCATCCCAGCCTGGAGCACGCAGGGCAGGGATTAGAGCTGCCTGCTGCATGGTGAGGCTGCATCCAGCATGCACTGAGGTGTCAGCTGCTCTGCCCTACTCCCCACCCCCTAAAAATCCACTCTGGGGAGAGGTGGTGTCCTTGGTGGTGCTTGGGTTCATGCTTTGGGTGCTTTGGGGCAGGTGTAGCCCAAAGAGCTCTTTGGAGGAAGTGTTCCATTACCCCAGTTTGGTTCCACAGCTTTGCCAGTGCCTCTCCTTGCCTGTTGGATGTCCTGGGGCTGCATCATCCCCATGCTGAGGGATTCAGAATGCTCTGGTCCCACAGGCATCCAGCATCCTCCCCTGCTTCCCACAGGAATTTCCAGGATTTTGCAAAGGGGGAAAAATGTGTTAATGCAGGACAGATAAAGAAGACAAGATCCAGCCTTCATCCCACTGGACTCTCCGTGCCCCTTCCTGTGGCTCTCTCCTTCGGCCGCAGGTCCCTTTTCTGCATCACCCAAATCCTTTTGGCTAAGGACAAATTAATCCCTAAATCTTTTATCTATGCAAGCAGGACATATAGGGGAGATCAAAGTAAATACCAATAATTACCTAAACTAGACAGTGGATTTTAACAGCCTTGCTAGAAGGGAGCTGGATCATCTAATTACCCTTCCAGTTTGAGCAATGAGGGACTTTCATCACAGCCTCTTTGGGGTGCGTGACGTGGCTGTGACTCACAGTAAATCTTCCATCCTTCTCAGGTTTACTGTCCTTCTCTTCCTCTTGCCTGTATTGCTGCACCTTACCTTGCACCTACCCTGGCTTTGCATCCCAGCCCGAGCACGCTTGGACGTGGGCGGGACACCTGGGGCACCTCTTTGGGGCTGATGTAACAAGAAGTCACTTTTTATATTGCTGCTATGATTAGCAGTTCAATTCACCTCCTTTTAATAGTCCTGCTGCGCCCAGTGTTTAATGGGCCAAGAGACAGCCAGACAGCACAGAGCACAGTGCTGTGGGATGGTGCCCCCAACCTTGTTGGGTGCCCTCTGCACCTCCGGGGGTGTCCTCATGCTACATGCCTGTACCTGCACTGCCAACACAGCTTGTCCCATGTGGACACCAGCAAACAGCCTCTGAGGAGCTCAGTGAAGGTGCTGGAGGCTGTGGAGCAATGCAAGGTATGGTAGGACTCCTCTGGGGTTTTGACTCGCTGGGAAAATGGGTGGAAAATCCCCCTGGGTCCAGGCTTTTGGCAGAGCAGCTGTCTGTAGGCAGCATTGCCCTGTCTGGGCCAGGGGGAGCTTTCCAGCTTCTCTGGCTGTGTCACAAGAACACTGAACCCTGTGCTGGGCCACCCCTTCTGTCTGTAGCCGACATCACAGCTGGATTTTGTTCTTTTAATGCCCCAAGCCCTGATGCAGGGCAGCACTGGGCTGGCACAGCCCGTGCTCTCCAGCTGGTGCAGGGCCAATGCAGAGCGCCCTGTGTGACCCACGCAGGGCACCCAGATGCTCTCAGGTGGATGCTGGGTCACCCAGTCACTGGATCGTGCCATGCCCTGGGTGTTTGGCCCTGTGTGTACCAGCAGCACTCACCAGGACTGCTGCTCGCTCGCAGCTGCGGTGCCTTGTGGGCGTTAACTTTCCCTTCCTTACATCAGGCCCCTTGTTCATCTTCCCTGGCAGGACCTGTTTGCCTGGGGACAGCTCAGGTGCATCTTCACCACCCACAGGTGACAGCAGAGCCCAGCTCAGCACAGCCCTTCAGCCTCCTCCCAGCCCACCTGTTCAGAGCAGAACGGGCAGAAGCCCCAGCAGTGGTTCAGGTCCATGGGGCTGGATCTCAGCAGGGCCCCTGCGTGCCTGGGGCAGGCAGGAACAGGCCACCCTTTGGGGAGCCAGCTGGGACATGCCAGCGTGGTTTGTGTCCTGTTTGCGACACAGCTCCAGTCCTGTCAGTGCCAGCTCCAGGGTGAGCAAGAGAAGAGCCTTCCTCCTGCTCCCCAGCTGAGGAAGAGGAGGGGTAGGAGATGATTCAGGTGCTGACAGGGAGCTGACATAGCCCACAGGGTAGTGGCATGTCACTGATGGTAACCAGCCCAGGTGCTGGTGGTGAGGTGGGATGTGAGCCCCCAGTCCATCCATCTCCCTGACCTGGGAGGACCAGGAAGCCTCCAGGCATGACACGGTGCTCAGGCATCCATGGGCAGGGGAACTGGAGGTGTGTGAACATTTCGGAAAAGGGAGGAGAGGTGCCGGGCATTGCGTCAGCCCAGCTTTCCTAAGCATCCTTCCTGCTGCTGCCTGGGCTGTGGTGCAAGCTGAAGGTGGAGAGCCCCAGCCCGTTTCTCAGGGCACGGATAAGCCATTTCACTCTCTTAAAGCCAAATTTTCTTCCAAAGCACCTGCAGGGCAGAGGCAAAACCATAAATCCACCATGCTTTGCTGGATTTTAAGACATCCCATCTGACCTAGGGTTTTGGAATGTCTGGCTGAAGGACAGAGTGTGCAGCATGGAAAATAGCAGTGGGAATCCTCACAGAGAGGTGTGGTGGTACATGGCATCAGCTCATATCGGTGGTCTGCCTGCAGTAAAATTGATGCCAGTGGGATTCCAGCCTGGAAATACTGGCTGGAAATATCCCCTGTCCTCCCATGCCCGCTGCCCCAGGCAAGCGGTTGCCTCAGAGCTGGGTAATGCGGTTCCTGTACCGGCAGAATGAGGCTTGAAATCCGGCTAGCCCGAGAAATGGGGTGGGAGCACATCTTGCAAGGAGTGCCTGCCGTGGGTAAACAGTGCCTGAGCCCTGCCTCGGTGTCCCCAGTTAAGTCCTGACATCCTGGCAAAGTGACACTGGTTTTCCTGCATCCCAGGCCCTCCAGCAGCTGCCAGGGCTGTATTCCCCTCTATAGGGAGGCAGTGCATCCCTGTCAGAGCGGTGGGGAGAGCATCCACTGAGGAGCTGGGGGAAAATCCTCCCAGTCTGGAAGCGGCACGGCTGAAGCCGCATCGGGCAGGGCTGAGCTGCGGCCCCGCCGTGCCCTGCCCGGGTTAATGGGTAACCCGGGCCGGCAGAGCGGGACAAAGGCATGCTCGGCACGTCCTGCAGGGCAGCCGGCGCTGCTGCCGGGGGGCACGGCTGGTATGGGGTGTGCACGGGCACGGCCCAGGCTCAGCGAGCCCCCGCGGCCGGCGCCGGGCTGGCACGGCTGCAGCAGGGAGGCTGCGCTGGCAGCTGGCACCGGGTTTGCTTCCCAGCACCAGCCGAGGCAGGTTCCTCCTGTTCCTCAGCCCGCCCTGCCAGCGGGACTGCAGCTGGGTCTCCATCCTGCCACCACTGCATCCCCCGTGCCTCAGTGTGCCCTCCTGAGCCGCATCCCACCTGGTATCCCACTGCCCATGGCACGGGCAGCCAGCCCAAACCCCACCTCATATCCCACAGCCCATAGCAAAGGCAGCCAGCCCAAACCCCACCTCATATCCCATGGCAAGGGCAGCCAGCCCAGTGTCACTCTGTGAAGGACACTTTGCCTTTTTCCCTGGACAAGGTGGCTCCTTCTGTGTGTTTTTCCTTGTGCCCACAGAAGGATGGTGGCACCAGCTGTACCACGCTCCCCAGGCCTGCCAGCCTAGCTTTCTGAGGGACCAAAATGCCAAGCTGGGCTTTGTTGGAGATCAGTGGGGTGGGAGGAGGGAGCAGTAGCCTGGCAATGCCCCAGGCTTTACTGGCAGTGCCAAGGTGACCTCTGCCATGGCACTGCCCATTTGCAGTGGAAAATGCTGTCCCAGGGCCCAGAATTTCTCCGTGGCCACCCTGCCGTGCTGTCCTGGCCACGGGCAGGGCATTCCAAACACTGGGCTCGAGAGGAGGTTTCCAAAGAGCCCCGAGCCCACAATGTCAGAAGGGCAGGGCAGCTCACTAGCAGCTGCTTCCCTCAGGAAACCTGCTCTGCAGGAACTCACTGACTTAAATTCACCAGATTTTCCCCCATATTTGTTTAGCAGGCAGGAGCTCGCTCTGGCCATACCCCTGAGTGCTACAGCCATCACCATCCCAGCTGAATCCACCACTGGTGCTTCACCACAGAGTTTTCCCTCTCTTTCCAGAGCCTCTCTGAGACAGTGGATGAGAAGGAGGTGTCTGCAGCAGCCCAGACTCCAGAGCAGACAGATCTCTGCTACAGAACCGTGCCTGTGGAGAGGGTAAGAGCTCTGGAGTCTCTCCTACACTGTTTGCTCCTGGGAAACACCAGGTCTCCTCTTCCCTGTGTGAGGGCTGGGTTTCTGCTGGGCTGTTGGGTGGGAGGGATGGCGTGAGGGAGCCAAGCTGACCCAGCCACTTGTGCCCTTTCTCCTGCTGTGGATGGCATTGCTCATGCTTTATTGCTCAGGCGTGGCCCCGCTGGGAGGCTCCCATTGCAGCAGCATGGGAGAGATGCCTTTCTCTGACAGCAGCTGTGCCCTTCCACAGGGAAGTGTTGCCAAACCACACCTTGCTTGCTTTTATTTCTTTCGTGCTTTGTTTATTTTATTACTTTATTTATTTTATTTTTTTCCCCTTGCCTGAGCACTCGTAATGAGCAGGAAGGGATTCCCCAGGCTAGGCAGGGTGATCCCTGTGTGTGCAGGGTGCTTCCTGCCCTGCCAGCTGCTTCCCAAGCATGCCACAACAGTGGGGACTTGTCCCTAAGGTGCCTTTGGCTGCCCCTGCCCTCCACAGCACCCTCACGGTCCCAGCTGGTTGGTGAGCATGCTTTCATCCTGTAGAAACCTGGGGGTTTTTTAGAGCAGGAGAACATCTTTCACCCCCCAATTTAATATTTTATCACTGAGCACCTTTAAAAGAGAATGTCCATTTCCAAGTGACCTTTTTGCTTTAACTTTCCCCCCAGTGGTGAATGGCTCTGCTCCCATCCCATGCACCAGCTGGGGTTGTTTCCCCTCCTGTGTGACTGTGTTCATCCCTGCCTGCAGCAGAGCCCCCAAAATGCCCACAGCCACCCTGGATCCTTGCCCTGGGATGCCCTGAACGGAGCCATCCCCACCACTGGCAGCACAGCCCCAGGTGCCACATGGCTGTGCCAGTGCTGTGTGGCACAAGCAGCCCAAGGAGAGCTGCCAGGCCCAGGGCTCGGCCAGGCAAGCTTGGTTTCAGTCCTGGCACAGGGGTGGGACCAAGAATCCACCTTATCTGGCCAGGCCAACAGAAGAGGTGTCCAGGGATGCTGAGCAGTGGCAGAGGTGGTGATGCCAGTTGTACCTCCCCATTTTCATGCCATGCCAACATGTGTACCCACACAGGTCCCTTCTTACTCCTGCACCTGAGTTCAGCCATGCTCAGCAGCTCTGCTGGAGTCTGTGTTCCCATCCTGTGTCCCTGCTCCCCATCCCTTCCCAGTTTGCTCCTCTCTGGGGTGCCCAAACAGCTGTGGCCGCCCCACGTGTCCTTTGCACAAGGAGAAACGTCCTTGGCTGGGGCAGTGCCACGGGGATGGGATCCATGTGGCACCAGAGGTATTCTGCTGGGCCATATCACTGCTCTCTATCTAATCTTGGCAGCAAAGAGCCTCAGTTATCAAGGCCTGATGCTGAGCCAGGTCTGGGTACAGCCACCTTCACCTTGATCCCCTGGCAGGTACCTGGTGGCACAGGGGTGAGCTAAGCCCTGGGCTGATGTGTGTTTGGTGTGTTTGGCCCCTTGTCTGCTCTGTGCTGGTGCTTGTGGGGAGCTCAGGGCACCTTGGAACCGGAGACAGCTGCTCTTGGGGCATGGGAGGGTTTGCAGCCAAAAATCCTGCAGCAGCAGCAGCAGCTCAGCTTTGTGCCTGGCACTGGGATGGTTTGTGGGTTCCCCAGCACCACAACCCCTCTGTGCTCCCCCAGGACCTGGTGGACTGGCAGAAGCCCCTGCTGTGGCAGGTGGGCTACCTGGGGGAGAAGTACGACGAGTGGGTGCACCAGCCCGTGGATCGGCCCATCCGCCTCTTCCACTCGGATTTCCTCGAGTTCCTCTCCAAGACAGCATGGTGAGCTCTGCACTGTGCCCTGGCTGGTGCCTGCCCTGGGAGGGGGATGGCTCACCAGCCAGCAGGACACTTCTCTGACAGCTCCTCCTGCCCCATAGGTACGTGGTGTTCATGGTGTGGACGCCCGTGGTGCTCTATCTCAGCTGGGTCAGCTACACCTCCCTTGCTCAGGGCAACACCAGGCTCTTCTCCTCCTTCACTACAGGTACGAGCAGCAGCAGCAGCAAAGCCTTTGGGCTTCCATTGCTGACCCCACTCTGGGCCATGGGGCAAGAATGGGTTGGTTGGACACCTGCATCCCTTCCTCATCCCTCCTTCTGTGCGTGCTCACCAAAGCCACATGCAAGAGCAGCAGCTCAGCACCTTTCCCTTGTGGCCACCAGCACCTCTCCCTTGTGGCCACCAGCGTGTCCCCTGCATGAGGCCTCCTGTGCTTGCCCACCTCCATCCCCTTCCCTCCCCAGGAGATTTGATCCCCCAGGGATCAGCAGAGCCCCCTGGGCTGCAGCCTGCTCGCTCCTGCCTCGTTCCCTCGGTGCCCACAGCGCTGCGGGTGCCGGGGCGGTTCCGATGCCGCTGCCGCCCACCCGGCCGGGCTGAATGCCGGGGAACAAACCCGGCTCTGAGCGCCGCCGGCTCCGCACAGAGCGCGGCTTGTTCGCCCCGAGCGCCTGCCCCTGAATCTCCCACTGTCTGCTCCCTGCTTCCCCGGCAACAACAACCGTGCCCAGGGCAAGCTGTCTTCTTTGTTGTCCTTTTTTTTTTTTTTTTTTTTTTTTTTGCTGGGTTCCCTATTTTTTTTGCAAGGTGCCACCCAGTGCCAGCTGTGCCCTGCTGTGGGGTGGGGATCGCCGGCTGCACAGGCACTCCCTGCTCCTTGTGGCATCCAGCACCTTGCTGCCAAGTTTTGTGGGGGTTTTTTTCCCTAAAAATAAGCAGGTTTTGGGGCAATCCAAGTTTTGCTAGGAAGGACACAGGGCTGGCAGCCAGCCCTGAAAGAAGGAGGTGGCTGAAAAATGTTCTGCGGGGGAAAGTGCCCAACAAGTCTTTTCTTTTTCCCCCCAAAAAATAAACACCGACAGCACTGTTTTACTGTCGTGAGTGTTGCCTGTGCAACTTAGGTCCCTCCTGCCTTGTTCTGGTGGGTGAAACAGCTGTGTAATGGTCACACAGTCCCTAGAGTGCACATCCAAGCCCACGTTGGAATCTGGAATGCAGGGAGCTCCCCTCAGTCTTCCTGAGGCAGCAAGAAGCTGGCTGTTTCTGTAAATTAGTCGGAATCAAAGGAAAATGTGGTTTAGAGCAGAGCTTGGGCAGTTAGCTCCCTAGAGAAGCTCAGGGCAGGAGGTGGATGAGTGGTGGGAGGGAAAGAGAGCTGAGCATCACCCTGATGCCAGTGGGAGGATGGTGATGGATAAAAGCACCTGCACCTGCCCTGCTGACCGCTGCATGTCTCATTGTGTAGAGTACTCCATCCCCGTCCACAAATACTACTTCCCCTTCATCTTCCTCCTGGGAATGGTCCTGTGGTCCCTGCTAGAGTACCTCATCCACCGCTTTGTGTTCCACATGAAGCCGCCCGCTAGCAATTACTATCTGATCACGCTGCATTTCCTGCTGCATGGGCAGCACCACAAGGTGAGTCGCAGCTCCCGCCCCCGCTGGCACCGCCTGGCCCGTGGGAATGGTGGCCTTTGCCCCGCCGCAGCTGTCACTGTGTGCCCTTTGCCCACACAGAGCCTGTTGCTGCCTGCTCAGTGTGACTGGTGGCATCCCAAGCGAGGCACTTGCCCAATACCAGCAAGGGCTGTAAAACAGCCTTGGAGGAGCTGGAGTTAATTTTTCAAGATGTGTGGTTGGGCAAGGGGGAAAACCAAAAGAGCCATAGGCTCTCTCTAGCTTTGCTGGAGGAAATGTAGAGCTTGGGCACCTACCAGATAAAGCCACCCCCTGCCTGGGCACCTGGGCACGCATGGGGGGCTGCTCCCACCACTGGGTACAACCTGGAGAGGGATTTTGCTGTTGGCTTCTCCCAGATGGGTTTCCCTGATGTTTGGCAGGGATGTGCAGAGGGAGGAAGGCTGAGTGGGAGCTGCCTGTCCCACCATCCCTCTCTGCTTCCAGTCCCCCTTCGACAGCTCCCGCCTGGTGTTCCCTCCCGTCCCGGCCTCGCTGGTGATCGGCTTCTTCTACGGCGTGCTGCGGCTGCTGCTGCCCGAGGTGCTGGGGCTCTGCGTCTTCGTCGGGGGCCTCTGCGGCTACGTCATCTACGACATGATGCACTATTACCTCCACTATGGCTCCCCCAAAAAGGGCACCTACCTGTACGGCCTCAAGGCTTACCATGTCAAGCACCACTTTGAACACCAAAAATCAGGTAGTGCCGCGCTCCCCGTGCGTGCTGGCAGGGGAAGGGGATGTCAAAGATCCAGCCTAGCTGCGTGGGTGAAGCTGATTGCTCCAAAATATTTGGGATTTGGGATGAGGAAAGCCAAGCACTGTGCTGCTGGGGAAGCAGCATGTGAGGTGCTGTAGCTCATGGAGAATATTTCCTGGCGTCCAGGGTGAGGATGAGGAGTCAGAGCAGGGGTGAAGGCAGCAGCTGGCTCACTGGTGGGCATCAGTGCTGCCTGGAATGCCAAACCCCCATGGTGCTGGATGTGGGTGCCTATCCCTGCCCAGGGCAGCATCTCTTCCTGCTGGGAGGTGTTGACAGGTGGAGGGTGAGGCCCTGGGCTTCTCCAGATCCGCCCCACACTTTCCCTAGCCCAGTGCTTGCTCAACCTGCCCTTTGCCCGGTTTCCTAGGAGAAAACGCCCCATCCAGATAAGCTATCATCCATGGGGCTTGTTGGCATGGCCCAGCCAGCTCCTGCTCCCTCTGCTCTTCCTCCTCGTCTTCACTTTGCCTTCCTCCCTCCCCAAAACATGGGCACTCCTCCCTCACCAGTTAACACAGAGCCCTTGCAACACCTTGATGGTGGTGCCATGGGCTGAACTATCTCTTCCCTGCCCACAGGTTTTGGCATCAGCACACGCTTCTGGGATTATCCTTTCCGGACACTCATCCCTGAGGAGACCTTCAAGAAGGAGGACTGACAGCCCCGGCCCAGAGCTCAGCTGCTGGCTCTGTGCCCCTGCACTGGGGCTGGTGTCCCTGCCCTGCCCCCTGCCTGGGGGCTGTGCCACAGCAGTGACTCCAAGTGGAGCATCCCTGTGGAGTGCTGTGGTCCAGCTGTGGCACTGGCAGGGGGATGGGGGGCTGAGGATGGTGAGGAAAGGGGAGGAAGAGGCTGTGGGGTTCCCTGGTGCACCCCGGCCCTACCTCGCTGCCCTCCCGCTCCAGGCTATGGATGCACGGGCAGATCTGCTGCCTGGAAGATGAAGTGCCTGATGCCACCCTCCCTCCCCTGCCCTGGCACCTTGCCAGAGCCCTGTCTCTCCCTGGCTGCCCTCTCCCCAGGGCACCCAACACGCTGCAGTTGCCTCTATTGCCTAACTCATGCCGAGGGGATTCCCTGTCCTAGGTCCTTCTCCCAGCCCATCTCAGCACAGGGTTTTCTTGGCCTGCAGCCCTTTAGGGGCAGGTCCCACAGCTCTGGATTGTGCCTTTTTCTAACCCATATCTCTCTGCCAGATTTATCAAGTTCATGGTTTTCATAGACATTGGCTACTTGAAACTCAAACTCTGATGAAAAGAATTACTATGAGATGCCTTTTTTGCTGATCCTGTGATTTTATTTTTTATTATTTTTTCCCTAATGTTTACTGCAGATATTTAAAGGTTTGAAATAAATTTATATGTAAAACTGTAGACACTACTATTGTAAATAAACTGTATATTTTGAAAAATAAAACTTTCTAAAAAGGGTTTGGGAAATGTATCCCCCAGGGCTGCTCACAATTTTGTTCTGCCACCTTTTGTGTGTCCCTTTCGAGGTGCTGATGGCCCTTGGAGCCACCATTCCTGGCTCCCCTCAGTGAGGTAGGAGATTTGCAGGGGACATTCTCAGCAGAGCTGTGTGACGTTGGGGCTCTGGGTAAGCAGAAGCTGCCACTCACTTCTCTGAAGTTGGGCAATAGCGTCACGTGAACCCCAGAGCTTCCCAAAATTAGCCCGGCCCTCTGACGAAGCCATCTGCAAAACTTCCTGCAGTCCCAGCAGAGGTCAAGCCCTGCCTCCAGCCCTGGTGCCCACAGCCCAGCTCCTTTGGTGCTCCTGGGGCTTGGGGATGGGCATGGGGAGAGGATCAGGCTCTGGAGGGTCTCACTGCACATGTAGGAGGTTCAACAATGCACAGAGCCCTTGCTGTGGGTGTTCCAGTGCCCTGGGCAAACCTTCCCACAGCTGCCAGCTCAGCAGAACGGGTTGTGATGCTCAAAATAGCAGAAGCATCAACACAGGCATGAATAACTTCCCCATCATCTTTTTCCCACTGCACTTCCTGTGGGCAATTCCTTCTTCCACCAGGCAAAACCCATCACAAGGGCGTTCAGCCCTCGGGAATACCCCGGGCAGCTTTCTGGGAACCGGGAGCTGTGCTGGCGTGGGAAGGTGCCTTGCACAACGTCCCTTCCGCTGTGACACCCTTTAAAGCCGCGCTCGGCCCGCCGTGCCCCTCCAGCCTGCGCAGGCAGCGAGGTCAGGAGGCACGGGCAGCTCACAGACCTTGCCTTCTCCTGTGAGCAGAGGAGATCCTGCCTTGGGGCCTGCTGGAGAGAGCCTGAGGAGGAGGGAGAGCGGCTGCCGCTGGATTCTGGGTGCGTTTCTATCTCCTTTCCAGCCAGGAGAACCTGGCACCACTCTCTTAGTGCTGGCTGGGTCAGAGGGGTTGCTGCTAATTTCCTTTCAACAGGGGTGGTTTTCTGTCCTTGCTACCTGCATGTGGGCTGGGGAGCAGGCACCTTCCTTGAGGGGATGCTGAGTATACAGAAAGATCTTGATTTAAAATCTTAAGTGGGCAGGACAGAGCTGTGGGGAGAAGCTGGGGATGCTGGGGCTGTGAAGATGTACAAACCTTTATTAGATGGATGACCACAGAGAGAGACATTGGATAGAAATGAAAACAGATCTTTACAGCCAAAGATACGGGTTCTGTGGGCAGGAACCCAGGGTGATGCAGGGCTGGAGCCAGGAATGCTGCCCAGGGGATGCTCCCTGGGTCACTGGTGTCCCTGCTCCTCTGGGTGGAAGCTCTCTGGGATTTAGCTCAGACATTAAATTTATTTAATTAATTAATTAATTAAATGTGACGGTGTTCACAGGGGTTCTTGGATTGGGGAAGAGACGAGGATCTTCATGTTCCAGAAGGCTTGATTTATTATTTAATTTCATGTTTCAGAAGGCTTGATTTATTATTTAATAATATATATTACATTAAACTATACTAAAAGAATAGAAGAAAAGGTTTCATCAGAAGGCTAGCTAAGAATAGAATCAGAAAGAATGATAACAAAGGCTTGTGTCTCGGACAGAGAGTCTGAGCCAGCTGTGATTGGCCATTAATTAGAAAAAACTCTATGAGACCAATCACAGATCCACCTGTTGCATTCCACAGCAGCAGATAATCACTGTTTACATTTTGTTCCTGAGACCTCTCAGCTTCTCATGAGATAAAATCCTAAGGAAAGGATTTTCCATAGAAGATGTCTGCGACAATTAAATTTAATTAATTGTACATTAAATTAATGTACGTAAATCAAGCCAAAACATCTCTTGCTACTGCAGAGAAAGATGTGCCACTACCGCTGTTACCAATGTCTCTGTGTATGCCTGCTCCAATCTGCGCAGGCAGCTGCAGTGGGAGGCAAAGCAGGGAAAGCAGCTGGGGATGAGAGGGGCTGTGGGAGGCTGTGTGCCATGTCAGGGTGTTGTTCCCTAGGGTGGAAGGTGTGGAAGAACTGCATCTCTGAGCAACACCTGAGGCTTCCCTGCACCAGCCACTGCCATCCCCCGTGGCCGAGCCCTTTGCTGCAAGCATGGACATCGTGGAGAGGGTGTTCTCTGTGGCCCAGGCCATCCATGCCCAGTTCGAGCAGGTGAAGTGCTGCAAGCACCAGTGCCAGCGCCTCGTGGAGCGCATCCAGATCCTGCTGGAGCCCGTGAGGATCCTCAGGGCTCAGCCACGACAGCACATCTCCCACCATGAAGAGGAACTGATGAAAAAGCTGCTCCAGGCACTGGAGGAAGCCCAGAAACTGGTGATGAAATACAGCCAGACCAGCTGGATCCAGAAGTTCCTGCGAGCCCGAAGCACTGGCGAGGAGTTTGTCTGGGTGAACGAAAGCCTGGAGGACATTGCCCAGGGGCTCTCCCTCCTGCTGCAGGCAGAGCAGAAACAGGCTTTCCTGGAAGCCTTCCAGTCAAAGACGTGTCGCAGGCAGGATGCTGAGGACCTGAGGGATGACAGAGCTTTCTTGGACCAGGTGATTGCAAGTGAGTGCATTTAGCAAACCCTCCTAACCTGTGACTGGTGGTTGCCCCTCTCTCCAGCTGTTACCAAGCTCTGGCCTGATGGCCATGAAGAGCCCAAGGGACATTTAAATCATGAAAGAAACAAACCACACAATCATGCTTGTTCATCCAGTGGCCCAACCTCTGCTTGTTTCTCTCCCTAGGTACTGAGGAGCCCAAAGATGCTCTTGAGGAGATCTACATCGACAGGGAGTGTATGGAGAGCAAGATGGACTGGATGAAAAGCGAGCTGAACAAAGTCATTCGTGAGATGGAGCGTAAGTCGGTGTCACACCACCTCACCCTGTGCACTGTGTCCTTTCCCCCCAAGCCCTGCCTAACGTGTCCCTTGTTCCCTTCTGGCACATGGTGGGAGCAGGCTTGAAGAAGGTGAACGTGGGTAAAAGAGAAGACATCACTGAGATCAAGCGGGACCAGCTCACCTTCCACAGGCACCTGCAGGACACAGAGAGCTACGACCTCTACGAGGGCGAGTACCTCAAGTACCCTGTTGCCATCAAAACCTTCAAGAGGCCACTGACCACTGACCCAGTGTGAGTTGCCCTGGCTGGGAACGAGTGTGGCCCCAGGAGGGTGGCACAGTCTGTGCCATGCCTTGTTCCAGGGATCTCACCACGCTGTCCATCTCCACAGCAAGGTGAGAGACATCTTTGAGAAGGAGATTCAGACCCTGAAGAAGTTTGAGTCTCCAAACATCCTTCGCATGTACGGGATCTGCATTGAGGAGAACGGTACGGCTGTCACACTAATGTCACCCTTTTCCTCCCTGCCATGCCCAGCGCTGGCTGGTGGCACGTGCCTTGCTGTGGTCCCCTCTCGGGAGGTGGCACAAGGCAGGATGGTTTTGCCTTGCAGATGGGAGCCCCTGCTTCTCCATCGTCATGGAGTACTGCAAGCACGGGACGCTGCGGGACGTGCTCAACAAGCAGCAGAACCTTCCCTGGGACATCCGCATTCGGATGGCCCTGGGGGCTGCCAGAGGCCTTTACAGGTGAGCACCTGTGTAACCAGTGAGTAACTTCACCTGATCACCCAAAAGCTGAGGGCAGCTCCCTGGTATCTCAGAGTAAGCCGTGGTTTCCTGTTAGACACTGATTCCCAGTGACACCACCTTGGGACCCTGGCATGGGAGGCTGCTGTAGGGGTAGGTGGTGGATTTGGGTGCAGTAGCTCCCATCTACCCTGGGCACTGTCCCTTACCTCTGGCTTCAAGCCTGAAAAGGCCTGGAAGGGGGAAATCCCCTTGCCCAGATGCACAGGGCAGATTTGGAAGTGCCCTGCAGCATGGCAGCTCTCCTTACAGGTCCTGCTCATCCACAAGGTTTGTACTGTGCCCACAGCAGCTCAGGGTTGATCCAGCAAGACAGGCAGAGAGCTGCTCTCTTCTCTGCATGTCAGTCCTTCCCTCCACAGCAGGAGAGAGCACCAAGGTGGGGATGGGTCAATCCTTCATCATCATCATCATCATCATCATGTGCTGTCCTTTGTCCCTTCCATCTGCAGGTTGCACCAGACAGGGGAGAAGTCCCGACTCCACGGCTGCATCTGCAGCAGCAAGTTCTTGGTGGCTGGGGATTACTGTGTGAAGGTAAGCACCACACCTGGAGATGCTTTTGGGAGTTTTAAATGGTTTTGTGGATGTCTCCCTGCACCAACACCAAAGGGAATTGTGATGGTCCAGGATAAAATGGGGTAGTAGCATCTCCCCTATGACTTTAGGCACTTAAACCTCCCTATCTTGGTCTTACCATCAGCAAAGTGAGTGCTCCTAAAGCATCCAGCCTGGGATGAGCAGAAGCTGGGGTGAAGCTGCCCTCACCTCTGGTTTTGCTTGCAGGAAGAGATCTGTGCTAGGCAGCACACACAGCTGCTCACCAGCCTTTGCTGCCCAGGGCATCTCTCTCTGTTTTCTCCATCTTGGGGCAGTCTAGCTGCACCACAGGTTTCTACTTCTCCTTTTCTCTCTCTCATTCTCTCAATCAGCTGTCAGGATTTGAGCTGTGTGAAACAGAATCATCCATCAAGAGGAAAGCCAAGAAGGACTGGAAACAAGTCTCTATGTTGGCCTACATCGCTCCAGAGAACCTGAAAGACATCAACTACCCTTACAAGAGTCCCTGTGAAATATACAGGTGTGTCTGTCCCTCCCAGGAGATGCCTGTGAGCAGGCAGGTGTCTGGCAGAGAGGCTGCTGAGCTATGGAAGGAGGCCAGGTTTAATCAGACACACCAGCAGATGCTTCCAGTTGGCACAGCCCAGCAGCCCTCTCCACCAGAAGGGAGGAATACATGGTGGAATGAATCCTGAGACTCTTGCTTGTCTCCTTCCAGCTTTGGGATCGTTCTGGCAGAGATTGCAACCTCCAAAATCCCATTTGAAGGTGAGACAGGAGTATCTGGTTCCCTGCATGAAAGCCTCACGGCACAGTGTGGCTCCTGCCTGGCACTGGGTGCTCCCTGCTCCTTCCCTGAGCATCCCAGGCAGGTGCCAGGGGCAGTGAGTGCCTGGTGTGCCTGACAGCTTCTCCTGCAACTCCAATATAGTAAAGTATTGTAGTAAAGCAACCTGCCTAAACCACAAACATGCAAATAATTTTTGTTTCTATTGGACGGTCATGGGCAGTTAAGCATGAACACATCTTGCTCTGCTGAAGCCCAACAGTGTCACACCAAATGCAGTGGGATTCATTGCAGATGGAGTTTGGGTCACCTCCCTGCTGGCTTCTCCCTGCCTGGGCATGGCTGTGTGCTGGGTTCCCTCCCCAGCACCCTCCTGTGGCAGCACAGCTCCATCCTGACGCTGCTGTTGGCACTTCTTGTCTAGGCTGCACTCCTGGGGAGATCGTGGAGAAAATCTGCAATCACCAGTACTGGGACCCTCTTGGGGAAGATTGTCCTGAAGATCTGAGGAAAATCATTGAGCAGTGCCAGGCCTTTGACCCTTCCCAGCGCCCTTCTGCCGAGGGTGAGTGTCCTGACACCTGCTGCACAGGCCTTTGCATCCTTCATCAGCTGCTTCAGCAGGCTGATTGCCCCTCATTTCCCAAAGAATTTGCCTGGCTTTGTGATTTGGGATCCTGCCTTGACCTTCCTTTTTATGCCAACAAGTCCCCCAGTTCCAGACCTCACACATTGACATTATTTACCCATGCCATGACAATAATCTCCAGGCTGTTTGTGCATTTGGTGTCACATAAAAGGAGCTTTTTCTATCAGACAGGCAGGGGCAGGAAGAGAGGTCTGGGAGTTAATCCCTACCCAGGTCCTGCAGATCCCATAAGCTGGAGGAGCAGCCACAACACTGCAGGAACATTTCCTGCCTTGGGCTTTAGCAGTAAATTGCAGTCTTGGGCATTGCTCAATGACAGGGAAGTTTTCTCTGTCTCTGAAGCTGGGTTGTGTCTGATCAGACAAGTGACTGGTCTCCAGCAGGAGATACAACAGCAACATCAGGAAATTACAGAGGAATATTTCTGGTGTGTTTGAAGTCACAGAGCTCATATCCTTCCCTTGGTTCATTTGTCTAAGGGGAGAAAACTTCCTTCAATTTCATCCACTCCATCCTACCGGACCAGATCCATACAAGAGATGTGGGAAATGTGCCCAAGAAACCACTGAGCGTCACATCTGTGTGCTTCCACTTCCCACCAGCACCTCCCTGGCACAGGGAATAGCCCTGGCTGAAGGGAAAATACCAAAATATCATTAGGGATGTTGACAAAGTCACGTTGAGGAAACAGGATGGCTTTATTACCCCAATATTACCCTAATCCAACACCTACCACTGTGTGGTGCTGGGCTGGAAGGACAGTTTATTGCAGCTGTTCACAAGGGTGTTTCCACAGACACAGCTACTTGTCCTTGGGCTGGGCTGTCTGCTCAGGCTGTCCCTGCTCACCCTTTGTGCTGGCCCCAGCAGAGGGTGACTCCATGTCCTGATCCTCATCAGCGAGGGAAAGCCATCTTCCCATCTGTTAAAAAAACCCAAACAAGCCCACCACAAATGTTAGTTAATGCCACGCTTGTGTTTTGCAGAGATTGTGGACTCGCTGGCTGACCTGGAGAAAAGCAGAAACCAAGGAAGTTAACTGTGGGAAAGGGGCTGGGTGACCAGGGCAGCAAACCCAGGGTGCCACTGGCCCCTCTTCCCCCTGACAGAGACTGGTGGCTCCTGTTTGTGTGTGTGTGACACAGACACGGGGCTGCTGTTTGTTTGTGTGTGTGACACAGACACAGAGCTCCTGTGTGTGTTTGTGTGTGTGACACAGACACAGGCCTCCTGTTTGTGTGTGTGTGTGACACAGACACAGGGCTCCTGTTTGTGTGTGTGTGACACAGACACGGGGCTCCTGTTTGTGTGTGTGTGTGACACAGACACGGGGCTCCTGTTTGTTTGTGTGTGTGACACAAACACAAGGGGCCATGCCTGGGGAGAGAGGTGACTTGAAGAGAAGCTGCCAAGAAGCCAAGGGGGAGCAGAGGGATGGAACAACCGAGGGATGGAACTCAGCTTCTTTTACGAGGAAAGACTGAGGGAATTGAGCCTGTTCAGCCTAGGGAAGAGACGACTGAAAGGGGACCCCATCAGCGGCTGTCCTTGTTTGGAGAGAGGCTTCAGAGGATGGACCGGGCTCTGCTGGGTGGCGCTCAGCCACAGGACAACAGCCAAGGGGCAGAAAATGATACATTGGAAGTTCCACTCGGATATGAGGAAGAATTTCTTTACTGCTGGGTGGTGATACACTGGAACATTGCCCAGAGCAGGTGTGGAGTTTCCCTCACTGGCGATACTCCAGAAACATCTGGCTGCAATGCTGCGAAAGTGCTCTGGGACAATCCTGCTCGAGCAGGGAGCTGGGAGCACAGGACTCACCGTGATCCCTTCAACCTGACCCATCCCGCCATTCTCCCCGCCCCTGCCCACGGAGGCGCGGGGGGCCGGCTACCCTGGACTCCCCCCGGTTCCCCCCAAATCCTTTCCGGTTCCGCTCGGCTCACCTCGGGGTTCTCCCTGGTTTTCCCCACCTACCCCCCAGCTTCGCCCCGTTCTCCCCGGTTCTCCCGGGCTCACCCCGGGCCCGTCCCGCCGCCGTGGCGAGGCCCCGCCCACCTCCCCCGGTTTGAATGAACTCGTGTTCCCGCTCTTTTCGCCACGCGGCGTCTCCGCCAATGAAAACTCGCTCCCCTGCTCTTGCCCCGCCCCCTATGCCGTCAGCGGTCTGGTTGCCCAATCAGCCGGCCTTCACTGCGGCGTTTTGACCAATCAGAGCACGCCGTACCTCCCTCCCTCTCGCCTTGTCACTCCCAGTTCCGTTGAATAGACAGACAGAGGGATTGGCCAATGAAAAAGCGGAAAAGGCTCCGACTCGCCCAATGGCGGCCGGCGCGGGGGTGGCAGCCAGCCAATAGGGCGGCGGGGGCGGGGCGGCGCGGCGCTCGAGCGGGCGGCTGGGCCCGGCGGAGGTGAGTGGGGGGCGGCGGGGCCGGGCTGGGTCGGGTGGGCGGTTTTGAGCTGGGATCGGGCTGGGATCCCGGCACAGCTCCATCCCCCGGGGCCCGGCCGAGTTCCCCAGCACGGCTCGTTTTCCCCGAGCGCTCGGGCTGCCTGCGACTGCCGGAGGGGGGATATCCCTCTCCCGTGCCTTTTTTGTGGCGGGCTCGTCTTTAAAATCCGCGAGCTCTGTGAAAGGGAGGGCGGAGAATGCCCGCCCGTGGAGCGGGTGCTCCGTTCGGGCCGTGTTTTGTTTTGGTTTTGTTAATCTGGTGTTCAAGCAGTGCGGCGGGAGCGTGCGGAGCGGGGCCGGTGCCCTCTGCCAGGGGAAGCGGCTGCCTCAGCCCTCAGGGTGGGAGCCTGGGGCTGCGGCCGGGCTCGGGGCTCGGCAGCGCCCGGGGCTCCTCACCGGGGCACAGGGGCACTGGGGCACAGGCAGACCCTTTGCGGGGACCGTCCCTTCCCGGGGCTGCCTGGCTGGAGGAAGGCCTGACTGGATAATCCTTTGGGCCAGATTCCAAGATTTAACCGTGAAAATGCCAATATTAACGTTTTTATAAATCTCACGGGCTACGTAGGCAATGGAACGTTGTTGCCTGGGGGTGTTGTGGATGTCCCAACCCTGGAAGTGCTCCAGGCCAGGCTGGATAAGGCCTGGTGGTGGGAGGTGTCCTTGCCCTTGGCAGGGCTGCCTGCGACGGTATCTTTAACCCCTTAACATCATGATTCTATGTGGTGAAAATAAAGGGTTTGTTATGATTTTGGATGGCAATTCTGTCATGAACATGAGCATAGTACTAGAGGTGCAGTACTTAATGGTTGAATATTACCATATCCTGTCCATGCAGCTGTTCTGGTGGGAAGTGCTAATGTCTGTTTTTTGGCCTAGGCTGAATTGATAATCAGGGTAAGAATAAAATTCTTAAAGTAGACTTTCTTAAAATACCTATATAAATATTTGAGCCTTAGCACAACCTCTTTTATTAATTCTTTGTATACATTTTCTAGCTACTTTTTATACACAGCTAGCATTTGTTCTCTTTATGCAGCCCTACCGGGGTAAGTTTTACCAGCTTGGTAAAACTGGTGTTTGTGCTTTAAGCTTCTGAATATTGCTTAAGTCTGCAATTCCCAAGGCTTTTCAAGTTTATGATTGCTTAAGTACTTCTTGGAGAATGTGAATGATTTCCAGCAGCTTGCAGAATTTAATTTACACACCTCTTCCAATAAAGGACTTTTGAGTTTTTGATGAATCTGTTCATTCAATTAATGAGATAATCTTGAACTTTTTTGTGTTGTAAGAGCAGTGTGACCAAAGTGCTCTTAATTTGGTGGCTGACAGCAGCATGAGAATTAATAATGCACAAAATGCACTCTGTTTTTCTTCAAACCCTAAGGTAGTACTCCTGTTCTGGAGGTAACCTGAAATCCATATGCCAATGGAATGAAATCCATATGCTAAAGATGTAGAAGGGCAGCCACCCTTAGTATATTTGCAGTTTTACTGCAGATTTCATGTTTATTCAGTCTTGGGCTGAATATGGATTCACAAATGCTGATGCTGCAGATAACTTGGTACCAGTAATGTGTCAGTCATGTGCTCTGCTGTCAGGCCCTTTCTGGTTTTGCCTGGTGTTGGTAAATACCTGAAGGGCTGTTCAGTAACTGTGGGTAAGGGTCACAGTGCTCTGTTACAATAAGGCAATTTTATCTGGAGAAACTTGGATGTCAGTCAAGAGAGCAGTGCAGCAGAGGACTGAGTCATAGAGCTTGTTCCTGGCTGTGTCTGTGGGTGCTGCTCACCTGGGAGAGTCTCAGATGTTTCCAACTGTTCTTCAAGATCCACGTGAATTAACTTGGCAAGTAAATGATGGCAGCAAGAAAACATTAACTTTACATACTCATCCAAGTGCTTATTTACGTTGATTTTGCAATGTGCCTTTGGTGCTAGGTGCTGTCGAGCCAAAGACTTTGAGCCCAGGACTCTGGGAGGGTGCTCCCAGCTCACATATGAGTATTAACTTGTGATTTAGCTCTGCTGCAAAGGACAAATTTTCTCTTGACTCTGAATTCTAAAAGCATTTTTAGTCACTGAGTACAGTACCTGGTTCTTGCTACCATCAGTAGAGTACACTTGTAAGTAAATACGAGTTTTCTTCAACTCCTTGCAGAAATGGCTCAAGAGGAGATGGAAGTTGATCTCCACCCAGTGGCCGGTTACTCGGTGGGGACCCTGCAGACGCTTGGCCCGGAGCCCTCCGGTCACCCAGCGCTCTCCTCCCGCATCGCTGTGCTCGGGGAGGGAGGAGGCAGCGCCGCAGCCCTCCCTGCCGGCGGTGCTGTTGTCTCAGCCGGTTCTGGTGCGGGGGAAGCAGCTGCCGAGCCGGAGCTGCAGGCGGGCCCTGCTCTGGCCCCCGGTGGGCAGCAGAGGCTGCAGGGGCCCTTGGAGCAGCCCCAGCCCCTGCCTGTGCTGCAGCTCACACAGCGCCCCCCGGCCAGGAGAGCTCGCAGGCAGCAGAGGCTCGGCGGCTCCCAGAGGACAATCGGTGCCAGGTAAGGCAGAAATGAAATCGGGTCTGAGCTGCCCAGCATCAATTCAAAACTTCCTTGCTTCTTCTCTTACAGAGCCCGGCCCAGGTGTGTGGCTAGGGCCAAAGCCAGGGTACCTCACCTTTTAAATTCAGTAATAGCACAGCGACTTTTGGTCTCTTCTGGCGGGTTCTTTGCCCTTGCTAAGTGAATCCCTCTGTTTCATATGTTGGCAGGTGCCAACATGGTCACAATGTTGACCTCTGAGCCCTTCTACATTTTGAATTTTGCTTGCAGAGCTTGTGCTGCTGCTGTTCCCTCTCCACAGCCAGATTCCTGTCCATGATTCCTGCAGCAGTACTGATCCTCAGCAGTTCCAGCCAGCATTTAGCTCAGTGGAGCTTGTGCTCTGGTTTGCATTTCACCTTTGATTTGGGCTCTGCCTGATTACATTTGCTGGTGATGGTTGCTGCAGAAACTTTCACAAACACACAAACTGATATTTTTCTGTAGAGCTTTTTTGTTTTGTTTTAGTTTTGGTTTTTGGCTTTTTTTTCCTTTCACACAAAATAAAAACCCCTCTCTATTTAATACCATTTGGATGGGATCAAAGGGGGATGAGTGGGGATGCTCTGCAGCCAGAAAGAAATCCAAATTTCTAGTATATTTGTTTTTCTCTCATCATTCTATCTTTTGTACATGTCAAGGGTGAAATTATAATTAACGAAAGCATTGCTTTTAAATTCAGCAAGACCAAAAGCTCCTCTCCTCCTAGTTGATTAAACACAACTGTATTGTTTGCCCTCAGATTGCCTTTGAAGGTCACTGTAGTTGTGAGGGCTGGAAGGCAACCTGAGAAACTCCTTTGAATCTGAAGGATAATTGAGAGGATAGCTGAGCTGATGGGGGGAGAGGGGAGGATATTTCTATCCAGGGGTGAAGTTCCAGTAGAAGAGCAGAGGGAAAGTAGAAAGACTAAACACAAAGTAGTCAGTGGAATGAGGCTCTGATCCAAGTTGTGTTTCCCAGTACCAGTTCCTCCAGGAACCAGGGCTGAGTTAGGGCTGG